AGCCCATCTATGAACAAAACCACCGTTTGTTAATTCCAATATTCGTCAAGCATGTGTATTTGTCTAGGTCTTGCCCACGTGTCAGGAATGCCTATGCAGATTATTTGAGGTTAATATAAATAGTTTGTTTTCTTTATTTGTCACTAAATATCATGGCAAAGTTTCATAACGATGGGGGTTTTTTTCATGCTTAATCATTGAACTGTGTGAATCGGGTCCAGGAGTCCCGGAGGAATATCAACTCAGCCGAATTTCAGCCTTTGTTTTGGGTTGTGTTGAAACTTTTGTCTCTGTAGTCACTTCTGTGCCGTTTTCCTGGCACTAACAATTATCACACAAATGACTAAATGTGTAGTGTGGGTTTTTTTTCAGACCCTTTCGTTTAACAGTCTTTCTTCATATAGTAGTAAGATTGTACCTGCAGGGAAGGGAGTCTGTAAACTTTAAAAATTTACCTTAGATTGTGGGAAGCACCTTCACCTTTCGTTTTGAGGGTAGAAATGAGATGACAATGTTCAAATCATGAAAGAAGATGAAGAACAACAATTTTTAACGAGCTTCTGTTTTTCCTTGGTGAAATGTGGGGTGGTTCAGCAGAGCTAGTCAGGATGGAGGGGCAGTATTCCAGATTTAGAGTCGATGCAGATCACTTTTCACTTGAAGGAGGTCAGAGATGAAAGGTGCTGCTATTATTTCTGAGCAGCTCGAAGATAGTTTTTGCCCTTTGCCGGATATTTATGTCAAAGCTCTGATTTTTTGCTGTAGGTAATACTCCAGTTTTTAAAAAGTGACCTTGAATGCTTGCTTATGGAGTCTTTTGCATTTGTAAGAGGACTTCAGGTACTCATGTCCTGTTATACTGCATAAACGAAAGTTGCATGTTCTATCTCTCACCTTAGATTTTTAATAAACATCCATTTTCTTTATACTTTTTTCACTCTACAGGTAATTGTACGAGTTCCTGCATTTTTTTTCTAGATTAAACAAACTCAGTTACATTCTGATATTTGATAGATGTTTCTTCCAGATGTTGGTGTAAGAATAGCAAGAAGTTAAAAATAGGCATAGCTCAGACACAAAGCATTAAATTTATTATTTTAGGAAGGTACCGAACATCTGCAGTTGCCAGTAAAGTATCTCTGTGCGACAGGGGCTTGCTTACTCCTTGTGTCCGTGTGTGCCATTTGTGAGTTCTTCCCAGTGAAAGAGAAATTACAGGAGTGCAAGGAGAAACACCACTTGCTGCAAAGCTTTTGAAGAATTTGATTTTTATTATTTGCTACCCTGCATTACAGTGAAATTCTTTGGAAACTGAAAAAAAACCCTCTGTGTTATAGCACAAGAATAGCTTCGCTGATGAGTAAGAGGTTGGCATAATTTCCAGTGTGAATTCAGATTTTCAAAGAATTAAGCTGGAAGAGGAAAGATTACTTTCAAGCTCAAATTCCTGGAAATGTCCCTCCGGGCTTAAATTAATCTCATCTGGAACTTGATACCAATGCGAGAGGTGTGTGACCCAGAAATGAAGAAAGAATCGGGTTTGCATTTTTAGAACACGCTTGTTTCTATGACTTCAAGGCCATTTTTAACTTGGGGGAAAAAAAAAAAAAGGCCATATGTATCTCCGTAATAAGCAGTACAGCAATGGCAAATCTCCAGCCAGGATCACTTGTCTCAGAAGGTCGTATCTCACCAAACGCTGCGTGCTCCCACTGAGGGGAGTAGAGCTCACTGTGCCTGTCGTAAGGCTGGGACCATCACTATGGGTCCTGCTATCAAAACCAGACTCGCTTTAAATGCCTGCTTTTGTGATAGGTGTGGTACATAAATGCTATTTTATTAAATAGCAAAATAAATTACCGAGGTTTGACCTCAGCTAAGGCTTTATCACTGTTGCCCTCCTGGTGAACTCGAAGGCAGAGCTTTCTCGTGGAATTCAGCATGTCGTCACTTTGCGGTACAAAGAGTTAACGCTGCGCGCCAAAAGCCGCGCCGTACGGGTGGTGTTGCGGGATGTATGCAAGGCTGTGGTTCCTCAGGAAAAGGCATACGGCGTGGGACCAAAACGGTCCTTAAATCTGAATTTCTTTCTCACTGTAAAGCTATCTTGAATGTCCAGTAAAATGTAAGAGTCTTACGTAAGGGAGAAGTTTGGTGACAAAGCAGGGTGGACGCTGCTCCCTGGGCTAGGGCTTTTGCAGCGAGTCACCTGAATAGCAGCTTCCCTAATCTTGACAGCTCTAGTAGTTGCCCCTGGGATAGAAAGAACACAAAAAATTCAGAACAGTCCATAAAGTTCCCGTTGGTTTGAAAGCAAAAACATCTGCTAGAGTCATGAACAGTTTGTTAGCAGAGTTCAATAACAGGAAAGCCTGCAGTTGATCAGCTGTGCCCCCAGAAACAGGCATTACTGCAGTCAGTAGAATTTATTGTAGAAGAGTCAGGAGATATGGGGAAGATTAGGGCAACAGCAAAACGTGTCAAAATAATGGTTTTGTTTCGTTGGCTTCAAACATAAACTTTCCCAGTAAGGAAGAAGCGTGGGCATTAACGGTTTCATATGCCGATATTTACTGTGAATCCTCAGCTGTTTGTAATCCGGGAAGGTACGTGTATTTTCTTAATACGAGTTTGATAGAGGCTAGACAGACACATCCGTAAGTCATTGAATTAGGTCTGTCACGCCTGCAACGAAGCAGATGAATGTAGTTTCTATATTGTCTTGAAAACTGCTCAGCACAGGCGGCTGCAATAGCGCCTGCGCTTGCCAAGGTGCGTCTGTACACATACGTGCTGGCACGCCTCGTCCTGATCTCGACGAGTCTGGCAGATGCACAGTAGCATCTCACGGGAAAAACGTGACACTTTGTAAGAATATGCCCTCATGTATGTAGCACTTTGAGTAATTCTATAATAAGTTAGGCCCTGAGGTGCATTAGGTACGCTGCAGGTTTCGGAATAAGGACACTGCCATACAGAGGTGTTAGAAATGGCTCCATAGCTCGGGTTGGGTTCAGATACCCACTCCCACAAACAGGATGAAAATCCCTTTATTTCATATAGTGTATGGATTTATGAAAACCCTCTGCTGTTTATATTCTAGAGGCGCCGTTCTGTATTTATGGTTACAATGGTGTCTGCTCTGCCATTATAAACTCCTATTATTAGGGGTTTACAGCATGGCTGTAAAAATTTGTAGTGGATGGAAACTTGACACATAAAGGTCAACCCTGTAATAATATAGTTTTTAAAAATCGATTTTTAAAACTTTGAGTCATTTTTAGATTATGTGAATATAAAAATATTGGTTCTAATTTTAGGATTGTCAGGTATCTTAATGCTGTAGCATAAAACTCTCTTGTTTTACCAAAGTAGAAATATCGTTGTTGCATTTGCTTCTTTTAATTTGCTTTTGTGGTGTCTGCTCTTCCCTCAAAGAGGTTTCTTGGTATTGAATCCAGGCCTCCAACAGGCCCTTGACAGTGAGCAGGTACAAGAAAATGAAAAATATCTCCTGTCTTATTGTCTGCAGTGCTTGCTTGCATTTTGCATTTTCTAAACTCTTTCAGCCCTCTCGTCTGAAGTTTTAATTAGAGCAACGCAATGCTACCGCCATAGAAAGTAAAGTAGGTAGACCATAAGCTTTGCTGACATATTCAAGTGACTTAGAGACCAGCCATCATGAAATACTTTTCTCTACAACAACGGGTCTACAATTCTCTCTCTTTTTTGTGGTAGAATTTGAACGCTAAATTACGATTTTCCCCAAAGTTGTATGTATGTATCGTAATTGTTTTGAAAGTGGTTTGGGATATGATGAAGTCCACAGAGCTGAAGAGCTAACATTTTTCTGTTGTATTGAGTCCCTGTGAAGACAGATGAGAGTAAATAGAGCAGTAAAATTAACTTAGTTTTGTTCTGTGAATTGAGGTTAAGTTTTTGTACCAGTCTTCTGAAAACAGTAGAGATTTAGGTATTTGAACAGTTACAGGAGCATTTTCATGGACTGTCAAGAAGAGATTTGCTGATGAGCACTGTGGACAGATCTGATGTTGAGTCAAACCAAAAATTTGCCTGTCCTCAGATCTCTGGTAGTGACTGGAAGCAGATGCTCCGACGTCCGGGAGATCAGAGCTTATGGGCTGCTTAGAGGTTGTGTCTTGGACTGTTGTGTTTAATATTTGCTGGTGAATTTGTCCCTCAGCTTGAACTAATATATCTAGTTATCAGTGTCACCTGCAGCTGGAAAAAGTGGTTTTCTTATCTGTCCAAAATTATTGTACAGTATTACTATAATGCAATGAAACACTTGAATACGGAATTTCTGGTGGTTTACAGTCCAGTGGAATAATCTCTGTATTTACTCTCTGTAGCAAATTAAATATCAAACTCTGCTTTGTTATGGATTCTTAATTAATGTATCGTCACCACTGTAATGAAAAGGTGACACTAAGATGATAATGAAGCACTTCAAATTAAATAGCAAAAAAGTCACATCCTAAAATCAAGTTGTTTGTGAAGCTAGCTTTAAATTAAATGTCAAAACGGAAGTGATAATTCAGTTCACGAAATCTTGGGAGTACTCTGTGTTCAAAGTCCGTACATGTACCCGTGGCTCAGGATAGCTTTTGCGAAAAGTTTGTAGAAAAGGCTTACATCACTGACAGTGGCATTTCTCAGTGTTAAATTCCTCAAGACAGCTGGTTGTTGTCTGTATTGGGCTGTTCTGTACGTTCTTTAAGCACTTAAGGTTAAAAGGAGAAGAGCCAGTTGGGTTATCATCGTGGCTGTATGTACACATTCAAGTCAAAGAACAGAAATGTTTTCATCACTTTTGATGTCAATATTTGAGCTCTTTCTGAGCTCCAACATATTGTCACAGATTTAGGAAAATATATACGTTGCTGTACCAATAACTTACTGAAAAAGCTTTTTTTTTTAAAGCATTTAACAGTAGGTCTGATTTTTCAGTTTTCTGTTTGGTTTTTTTTTTTTTTCAGTGGTTCCACCAGGGAGCCCTGGCCCGATCACTCGACACGAGTCGTACGACAGCCTAGCATCTGACCACAGCGGGCAGGAGGACGAAGAGTGGCTGTCCCAGGTACGCTGCTGCGGGCGGGCCAGGCCAGGGCAAAGCTGTGATAGTACCCCCTGGAAATAAAATTCATAACTTCCCTCAAAATGGAAAGTAGGCTTCCAGCAGCCCCTGGGTGTTGCTGTGTGTAAAAGTGACTTCACGCCTGACTTAACGGGGTATGAATCGGGCGGTCTGTACTTTTTATACAAGCTGTATTAAAAACCATATCAAGCCCCCATCATTATATAGGCACAAGTCACATCCTTGGGAAGTTCAGGACGATGTAGGAAGTTTAAGTTGGCAGCAGAAAGTTACCTCTCTACCTTTTTCTCCTGACACGGTCCTTTGCAGACACGGATACAGGAAGTTGGCTTGGCAAAATGACAATACCTTTCCAGTTGTGACCTGTGCTGTACTTACTGCATTTTAGCATAAAAATGGTAGATTAACTGGTTTACTTCCTTCTTTTTCTGGTTGTCAGCTCCTGCACTTCCTACTGATAATTCCTTTGAGTTACGGCTAGATACAAATACTATAGAGCTTTAAAATGATCCTGCTTGGTGGAATATTTTTTGTGAGGTTAAATCTTTGTAGTTTTATCCATTTTTGCTTTGTTTCAGTCAGTGAAGCTTCTCTTTAAGAACTCAGTACATACTTGACTATTTGGCTCAAAATATAACTTCAGTTTAAAATGTAGTTCATGAATAATGCACTGAGAATTAGTTCCTGTTAGAAATGTTAAATAAATAACAATTACAAATGCTCTGGATTTACCAAAGCAATAACAGTGTACCCGATACAGGGAATTCATCCTGACAAATTAGGTGGGTTTCCTTTGGTTTAAGAACCACGTTGTTACGACAGTGATGGATTAGACATGTTGCTGGGGTGGTATGGCATAAATATGAAATACTCATGGATGGGATTTGCTTCTTCCACTGGCGAATAAATACACAGCAGTTTCCTAAAATGAAAAGTTAGATTTCCACATGTACCAGTCTGGGAGTGGCATTCATTGGGGGAATCTCTTCACGGGAATCCACTTACCTGGCCCAAGTTTTGTGGCTGCACAATGATAGATCTTATTTGCTTATGCTCTCTCTAATTTGTCAGAGCATAAAGATGGTGACACTGCTCGATCAGTGTAGTCAACAGGAATTTGAACTCACTGGGGACAAGATTTCACCTGTAGTTTTCTACCTGTCTCTCCGGTGCTATTTGGCTAGTTTAGCTTGTTTTACTGTTCTGGTGACTTTCTGGTATAGTGGGCAACCTCAGGAAGAAAAGAGTTAAGGTAAACCTATGCTATAGGGGTTTGTTCAGTACTAATTATTGACATTCCAAGTAGTAAACAAATTAGTAATTTGTTTACTACTAATTCTTGACATTCTAAGATGTCAAAGGAGCATAGGACTGCTCGAACTTCATCACATCTATCCCTCTAAAAGAGTAAATATATTTATAAGAAGAAAAAAAAATAAACCTAAGTGATGTCACAGAAGAAAGATAATTCAGAAAATGCTTCCAAAACATTTAATTTTTACTAAGTGAAAAGAGGGCTGGTAGCACTTTTGAGCGTGAAGATGCTCGCATTCTCCAAGCAAGCCACTTTAGATTAAGCCTAAAGTGCAAGTATGTTTTTCAAAATTAAAGTGGTGTTATCAAGAGTAACAGCATGCAGTGAAAAAACACTGCCCTTCACTTCAACTTTTCAATTAGAACAGCGGGTAATGTGTGCTGTCAGTGTGAAGTAGATACAATATGTTTGTCCTGCACACAACAGGAGAGTGAATAGGAACATCTGGCCGTAGCCTCAGTAAAATTGCAAAGGCATCTGTTTACCTCTCGGCTCTGTGACACTGATGGTTTCAAGCTTAAAATATACAGATTACTTTATCTGTGGCCTAATTTACACTGCTGCGTGAAAGCTACTTGCCTCAGAAACGTCTACAGTCGATCTGAGTTGCGCTAAGATAAATGCAGAGATGGAACTAGTGCTAAATAGGCTGTGCATTTGTTGTCTTATGTTAGCAGACAAGTTAGAACAACATTATCCAGTGCTAAAAATTGCTTCTTAGAGTTAGGAATTGCTACTAGTATATATCTGTGTCATATATATATAGATATATTTTCATGAATTTCCTCACTAAATTGCGTTTTTGCTGTGAAGCTCATCATCATTACAGCAGAAAATGATAGAAATTTAATAGTCTTATTTTTGTCATCTTCAGAGAATGAGTTCACCAGAGCTTAATATTTTCATGTTTCCTTTTTCTGATCTTTAAAGGCTCTTTTTGATTTTTAAAATTATATTACAGAAGACTTATGCTTCTACTCTTTATTTACAAGGCCCAATTTTCTTGATCGTATACGTTTCCAGCAACGTTACCATCTTAAATATTCATGGTTGGTTGCATTCCTATAGTTGGCTCATTGAAGAGTTTGCCAGAATTGATACTCATCAGGTAGTTTTCAGTGTAAAAAGGCATTTTAAAAATATTTTGGGCGCTTCACTTAGTTATTTTTCAAAAGTTTATACCTAGACTCTCACTGGGAGCCAATACCGAGAGGAAAATCTGAATATTTGAAATTATTAGACACACCACCTGTATTCTCTGTGCCTTTTGGAAGTAGGCGTGGAAATAAGAAGCTTCTGCATCTATGTGTATACCTACACGTAAACATACATCTGAAATACACCTATTGTGTAAAATGTGTTGCACATACCTGTTTGTATTACATGTGCGTAGTAACGGGCGTGAGCTGGGCTGTTGAGTGTCTCCCCGTGCACTTCACGTTGCTCCCTCTTACAAATCTTGTTGCTTTCCAGCAAGATGGTCTCTGCCAGCTGTATCCTCAGAAATGCCAACAGTAATGATGAGCTTGGGTTTGAAATACGGTTCGCACTATGTACATGTGAAGCAGCGCTGTTTGATGTGTGAACTTTTGGAAAGCAGCTGTAACAAAGCTTTAACAGCTTGCTTGCTTTCAAAGTGCATCCCTTGACCTGGCCAGGGTTGAGGTTATCTGGGGGTGGTGGACTGCTGCAGTTCCTGTGTCTGCTCCATGCAGACATGGGCAGAAATGTGGTCCCTTGTCTGATGCCACAACAAAAGGAGCTTTTTAGCTTTCAAGTTACGGCGCGTATTTCGTGATGGTAAGGGAAGGAATAGAATCATAAAATGGTTTGGGTTGGAGGGGACCCTGACGATCATTTACTTTAAATCCTCTGCCCCGGGCAGGGCCACCTTCCACTAGCCCAAGTTGCCCAAAGCCCCGTCCAACCTGGCCTTGAGCCCTTCCAGGGAGGGGGCAGCCACAGCTTCTCTGGGCAGCCTGTGCCAGGGCCTCACCCCCCTCACAGGGAAGAATTTCTGCCTTAGATCTGATCTAAATCTGCCCTCTTTCAGCTTATAACCATCACCCCTCATCCTCTCCCTACACCCCTGATCCAGAGTCCCTCCCCCCTTTCCCGCAGCCCCTTTCAGCCCTGGGAGGCCGCTCTAAGGTCTCCCCGGAGCCTCCTCCTCTCCAGCTGAACCCCCCAAGTCTCTCAGCCTGTCCTCACAGGGGTGCTCCAGCTCCCCAGCATCGTCATGGCATGAATGACTGAACAGGGTCAGGTGAAGTGTCAGTCTTCAGAACACTTCAAGCACCAGGGCACCGTGTCCTCAGGCTGGTGGTCCACGGGCTTTCAGGGCTCTGCAAGAACCTCTTGGCTTTGGCTAGAGCATCCTTTCTCTAGCAAAAACATTCTGAATTTTCCCTCGTTCAGCATTCCTCTGATGGCACAAAGCACTCCCTTTGCTTGAGAGCAGCAAGGATTCTGGGGGTTCAGTGGATTGAAGGAACCATTCAGTATATTAAGTTGCAGTTTTGCGTTAAGCATTTCCCCATATTCCCTTCCCACAGGTCGAAATAGTGACTCACACTGGGCCTCATCGACGCCTCTGGATGGGCCCACAGTTCCAGTTCAAAACAATCCATCCTTCAGGGCAAACTACTGTCATTTCATCCAGTTCCTCCGTGCTGCAGTCGCATGGTCCGAGCGACACCCCACAGCCTCTTCTGGACTTCGATACAGATGATCTTGATCTCAACAGTCTCAGGTAAAAATAAAACCAATTTCCAAGCTGTTTCACATTTGTTGTGTGAAGAACTTGCCTCATGTTTAAATGAGGCCATCTGTGTAGAATGTGTAGTAGTTTTCATCAAGCTTGTCCAGATGAAAGTCTTAGGAGAGCGTGAGACTCGACAACAATAAAAATTCATCCAGGCCAAGCATTTTAGATTCCTTTCTGCTGCCCCTTCGTGGGTAAATGACAGTGAAAGACAGTACAAAGTCTGGTGGCCTTGCTCAGCATTGTCTTGGCTTTCACAGTTTCTGCATTGCTTAATAAATTCATTTTCTCAGACATGAGTGGGAGCTTTATGCCATAGACTTAGATTCTGACTGTGAAGCGGTCACTGTGTTGGAACAGTGAGTGAACTTCTGGAATGTTTTTCCCCTCCCTGTTTATTTTTTTTCCCTTCCTTTGCTTCCTTCCTTGTAATTCTTTTTCATGTATTTAATTCATCTGGTTTTGGACATTGGCTAATTTGGAATTGGGAGCATGGGGTGGGCCAAGGGGAGGAAGGAGAGTGAAGGTAAATGTGGGTTTATGTTTACTGATAACTGGTGATTATTCTAGAGTTGCTTTTATGCACCATGAGTTGCTGCCTCTTGTCTGGTAGCTCTCAGGATTTAACGAGTTTCCATGCTTCTGACTCTGCATGTGATTTGAAGTCCAAAGTTCTGTGGTATGGACTTGGATTGTTTGGGACTCTGTCTGAAACTCTTATGAGTAAAACAAGAGAGATGGATAATATGACTAATCCCATTAAAACTGGGCAGGTTGTCTTTGGCCTGAAAATACACGGGTTTGAAATCTGTGATTTCTCCCTCCATGTAATTACTCCCACAAGTAAGGATATAGCTGTCAAATAGATACCTATATTTTATTGTATACATATGCAGAAAGCAAGTAGAAATTAAAAAAAAAAAAAAAGTTACAAAAGGAATAGACAATTACAAACGTGTCTCTTCTAAACTTAAAAAAAAAAAAAAAGCTGATGTTCAGGAGGGCGATAGAGGCTTTTTAAGCAGTTTGGGCAGTGTGAGCTTCTTCCTTTGAGGCATTCTGAGAGCTCATGGCAGAGAGATAATTTGGGGATATTCACTTCGTGTGGAGCCTCACTTTGTCTCTGGATGAATTATCCAGACCTTGGCTCCAGAAAGCAAAGGAAAACAAAAGTTTTCAACAGTTGACTGATTTAAAAATAAATAGTTGCTTAATTGTTTCAGCTGATTCAGGTTTGCAATTTAATTACAGCCCTCCTGAGCACTGATTTTGGCACAGGTGGTAACTATAACTTCTTCTTCAGGATTCAGCCTGTTCGCTCAGAACCCGTCAGCATGCCGGGGTCATCGCGTCCCGTTTCTGATCGCAGAGGAGTTTCAACAGTGATTGATGCGACCTCAGGTAGAAACACAATGATTTCAATGATTTTTCTTTGATACTCATGGCATTCATCAATCTTGTCTTTCTTTTTTTGTCTGATAACATGTTTACTAACCATTGCCATACACTTAAAAGGGTATCATGATTTTCAGCTGCACAACAGGGTAAGTGCTGTCTTATACAAATACTTCCTGAAAGCTACCATGATGGTGACTTTTTTTTTTTTTTCCCTCAAATCTGAAGTCACAGCGTTGTGATAAGATACGAACACAATATTTACAGTAAGCTTAGTGTGAGCTATAGAATGCTAAAAACTGCCTAAACTAAAAAGCAGAACATATACATGTACTAACACTGAAGTACTTTTCTTAATGAATGCCTAAAGCATAGAATATTACAATTCCATCTCATTTATAAAATAGCTTTCACTGAAATGTAATCATAAATGTAATTGATTTCTGTGAACAGTCAAGACAACAGGAGAGTTTATCTAATGTTTGTGTAATAGGCACATTTTCACCACTCGGCTCTAAAAGAGTGTGTAAATTTAATACTACAGTGGTTTTGTTAATATCAACGTAGTAATATATGTGCTATAAAGTTTTCTTCTTTTTTTCTCAGTTGTGGGATACAGTCTGTATAAGGAAACAAGGACAGCAGAGCTTTATGTTCTAGTACAGCTGTGTAGCGTCTGAAGGGTCCACACAGCAGGATTTTGTCAAATAAAATCTCTCACAAGTAGAATTATTAAACACACAGCATTAGTCAAACAGTCAAGTCAGAGAGGATTTTAATCTTTAGCGATTTGAAAATCCCTGGAGACTGCTGATTGGATTGAGGTTAAACTGTAAAAAGAGACTGTAACACATACAGAAACCGGTTCCTGAAGGTTGTTTTAAAGAGAGTTAAAATAAAAGCTCCTGTTCCAGACTGTTTGCTGTTGATATAAATTCTGAGTCCAGGATACTGCGTTGTTTGCCAAATTAATTTATTTGGGGATTATAGGGTATTTCTTAGATGTGTTTATAACTGAGTTCGATAATAACTACATTTACTTTGGATGTTGAGGATTGTCATTATAAATTCCATTTTCAAATGTTTAAAACTTGTTAAATTAATTCACGTTGAGCTTAGACAAACATCTGATGCTGGTTATTTAAAGGGAATTTTATTTGTTTTACTACATGACAAAATAACTTTCAAAATTATTGTTCGATACAGAAGAAAATCTAAATGGATCAGTTGTGATGATTTTTTTTTTTGACTAGTTCATCTATGCCTATTACCCCTAAAAGGTTACAAGCTTGAATCAGAGGAGTGCTTCTGTGTGTGTATCTGACACTTTGGATTCAGAGTGATTAATGGCATCACTGTTCTTCACTATCAGCGTGCCTATGCCAGCTGATACGGAGAGAGATATCTGGGTTGTCAGGGTGGGGTTTTTTTCCCCTCTTGTGTATGAACGGAGCAGTGCTATTACTGATAGCAGGGCTGTGTAATAATTCTGAACCAGAACCATTCCGTAATCATAACGCGCTCTAAAACTCTGTTATTCCATCCACAATAGAAACCACGAGCCACATAGAACTGTACCTCTTCTCTGCTAAACAACCTTTCCTGAAGTGTGGATGGGGCCTTAATATGAAATGGCTCATGTGAATGTGATGAAGCGCTATTGGTAATGCCTTTAACATGTGTGTCCATATTAAAATTGCCAAAGTCAATTGTATACATTGTCATGACACTGAAAATATATTTACTGTACAGCAGTGACTCAGTTTTGTTATAACACCTCATATGTTTCTTATAAACAATACATGGATTTTGTTAGGGACATGCTGATAGCAGTATTTTATTTAATTTCACTGCCAGACAGTTCGGATTTGAATGGAGTTTTGATTCAGGGACTTTACCATCTCCTTGCAGTTTTCGTATTGCCTGATCCCCCTCCTTCCCCATGCAGAAACTATTGCTCCAGGTTTAGAGTAGATATGCCAGATTATGTGTGATGGCACAGGGGCGCGAATTCTGCTGCAGAGGCAAGGAGACACAAGTTAAAAACATACACTGTCTTTTGAAATCTTGTGCTATTCTTGTAACAGAGCCCAGCAAAGGCAAGAAGAGTATTTTATGCGTATTTCTCTTCCCACCTTGGAGATGTGCAGAAAAGTACATTAAGTTCAGGTCTGCATCTGAAGGTTTTTATTTTAAATCCTGTTCATGTACAACGCTGCTTTTTTTTTGTGTGTGTTTTAGTCCACTACTGTAAGTATTCTCATTTCCTGCTATTACCAAGGCATGCCCTAAATGGCTTACATTCTTTATGGAAAACAAATTTATTGGAAAATACGGTTTTAGGTTTGAAGGATTTTTAAGTAGGTCATAAATTTTTACTGCCTAAACTGAACCAGGAAGTGATTCTTCAGTTATGACCCGTGCGTTTGAGTCTGTTGCACTTTATGAAGATGCTTATCTGGCTGTTTGATTGCCTGTTGCTTAGAGATACAACCGGCGTGGCGCCTCTTCTTATCTAACTCCATCACTTGTTCTTCCTATCAAAAGATTTCGAGTACATGTTTATCATCTTCCATTATTCTTCTGCCATTCCTGATAGCTTCCTTCCTTCTCCCCCATTGGTGACAACTCTGTTGTTGCATTTATTAAGAAATTGGTGTCATTTTTTTTGATTTTCACATGTCTATATAAGTATGTTAATGACAATATACTCTGACAAGATACATGCAAAAATCTTCACTTAAAAAGTAAAAAACCTAATACTTTTATCCATAATTAAAATGCTCAGTGGCATTTTTAAGGTGGGTAGCTGTATCTAAAGATTACTCAGATAAATTTTTAAAAACACATTTCGGTATGGTTGTCTCTAAAATATTCTTCGCTGTTGTGTGGGGGTTTCCTGGTTTGTTTTGTGGGGTTTGTTTTTGGTTTTTTGTGTTGGGGTTGTTTGGTTTTGGTTTTTTTTTTAATCAGCCCTTTACGAAAAGTTAGCAAAAATGTAGCTAAAGCTACTGGACATTCGTCCCTTGATGCACACGTTTTAGTCATATGCATCCTGGAGAGGATATACCCTCAAGGATTAAATGCACAGTAATTCCAGATGCTAGTCCAGATTGGCAGTTAGAGATGTTAAAGGGACAACACTGAGTTTAAATCTTTATAAAGCAGGAAGCCTTTGATAATCAGCAGAAGAACCGCTCCTGTACCCAGAGTAAACGCACACCGTGTGTAGCGAGCAGGCGTGTGCGCTCCTGTGTCTGTGTCCTTCCTTCTCAAAGAAGTGCTGAGGCTGTTGGCTGGGTTTAACAAAGGTGGGCTAAGGTTTAGTAAGTCAGGTTACATTTAAGACTTTATTAGACATCAGAGATGGAAGAGAAGCCTTACAAGTGCCCTGTCTGCAGGAGATACTGCAGCTGAAGGTCACACTCTTTACACATCCAAACCAGCCAACCCTGAGACAGAAATCTATACTGTGACCAAAACAACTTCAAAAAAAAAAATTGTTGCTGAATGACCCGGCTCTATTTCAAAAGGCTGCTCTATAGGCATGACTTGAAACTTTACAAACTTTACATTACCTGTGTGCACTGAATGCTGCTCCTTTCTTTGATGTGATGAGCATTAGATACAATTTTTGGCTAGCTGAAGATATCTACAGAATGATGGAGACTGATCTAGAAAATCTAAGCATAGGCTGGATGTGCAACTGCATATTTCAAGGCACCTTTCTGAATTTTTCTACTGTGACCTGTAGATCAGTGATGCGTGTCATACATGTTACATACAATCTAACCTGATAGAACTCTACAATGCAGAAATTAAAGGGTGTAGGAAGGTTAGAATATTTGTACAGAACCACAAATCCAAACTTTCAGAAACAGAAAGGCTCTGGAGAAAGGATTTTGCAGCAGTTCCTGAATCTGATCGCACAGCTGCGTGGTATCTGGAAGGACAAATGTTTCCCTTAAACTGTAACAAATGTGTTGAAGGGCTCAGGTACTCAGGTATGCTCTGTCATAGCTGTTAATTCAATCCTGCTCGGTTTAAAAAAAAAAAGTGTGTGCATCTGTGTGTTAATGAAAAGCCTTGTTTATTCCCTCATACAAAGAGGTTTTTGACGCTTATCTGTCAGTCAAGTAAAGATTTTGTTGCATTGTCAGCAGAGTAGGAAAGTGTTGACAAAGTTGTCTGATCTCTGTTTTGCATCAGCCGTTTCCTTTCTTACTTGCTAAGGACAAATACAGAAGTTAGTGTGGGAAGGATTTTAATGAATAAAATTAAACTGTAGAAGAAAGATGCAGAGCACTTCTTTTTTTTCTTTGTGTGTGGGGTGGGGGGAACCTTTATGCTCTTTTCTAGAACCCGGCATGTGCGGGGCTGCTTAGGGTTGCACGCATCATTTTTTAATGAAGATTGTTTATTACTGTTGTACGCAAACTCTTGACAATGCTAAGCTCTCTTCTGGTTACTTCAATCAATGCCCACTTAAAATTGGCTTGTAATTTAGTACTTCCCTTTCTTTTGTGTGCGACTGGCTGGTCACGGACAGATAGCTTGTTGCCTGCGGAGGGTTTAATGAACAGAAGAATTGGCTTGGGTTTTGTGGGGGAGGGAGTGTGCCTCCCTCCCTCCCCTCTGCCTGTGAAGGAGCTTTTATTGTTCATCACCACACCTGTGAGATAGGGACCGTGGGACAAATCTTTACTGTCCAGCAATGCTCTCACTTGGAATTTAATAAACACTTCTGCTGTCACACCTTAAACCATCTGAGCTCTTTTCTGTTGTATGCGTGATCAAATATTTATTCCCGAATGCTGTACAGCAGAAAGCGCTGCCTCGGAGTAGCGGAGATCAGTTATTCAGGTAGTAAAGATGTGTGAATGCAGCTGGCAGATGAAGTCACCGACGTTACGAATTCCCAGGCTGTCCTTACTGCCACGGGCAATAACCGCCAGGCCCGAGCGGGTGCTGGTTTCCCCTTACGGGTGCTGGTAGGGCCCGGGGAG